CCCTTGCCCTTGCCAGGCAAGCGCTTATTCTACTGAGCTATCTTCCCACCCCCTATTATTATTTTTAATGTATTTGGTTGTTACAGGGTATCACTACGCAACTCTGACTCATAGTGATCCTCCTGTCTTCAGCCTCCCCAGCACTGGGATTACAGGCCTACACCACTAGGCCCAGACTCTATGGCCAGCTCTAGGGGCCAGGCTGGCGCAGCACTGCTGGGGATTGAACCACAGTCCCTACGCTTGCCTGCACATGCCTCAGCAGGTGCTTTAGCCCACTAAGCTGTCTTGCTGGCTCCACACATCCATAAAGATCACCAATGACTTAGTTTGTATGTCACAAACTTCTCTCACTGTCCTCTGTTGGAGATCAGCCTTTATCTGGCCCTGTGCACAGTAAACCAGGGGGCTACATCTAACCCTTCCCTTTGGCTGTGGCCCTGGCTGCTCTGCTCTGAAGTGTCTATGTTTTTGCTTCTGTGGGTTCTCCCTCTCAGGCTTCATATTACTCCTGGACTCATGGCGTTCACCTCCTTTAGGACGTTACCTCTATGACCCCTCCTATTCCAATGAGAGTTACTGACACTGTGATACCCCATTCACTATCTGTCCTGCCACTTCTGTTACTTCTATGTTTCCAAATGAATTTTCCCCTGTTCTGTCTTCCAGTTGTTCAATTCTTTCTCTAGTTAGGTCTAATCTGCAGTTCATCAATCCATTCAGTTTCTTTCAGCTTCACTGAGATTGGATTTACAGACAATAAAACAAACCTATTTAAAATGCATAACAACATATTTTGGCTAGGTTTTCTTGAAGTTATTATGATTTTCTTTCAGTATTTTGATTTCACAATTTTTCAACTCTTGCATAGTAATGATAATAGTATGCACTTTTCTCCTAGGTTCATCAGTTGCTAACATTTTGTTATATTTGCACACAATCCTATGATTGCATTTTTTTTGATTTTCAAGAGCTATCTGGGTGCAGGCAGAATGAGCTGGCACCTCTGTATTTCAGCACTGAGCTCAAGGAACAGAACATCTCTACTCACAGGCCTGTGTGGCCATTAAGTCGCTCACAGGCCGCTAGTGGAAGCTCACTGAACCATGTGCAGTACATGTGCCCAGCGGGGACATGCTATCATCCCTTCTGGTATTCCTGTAGGGACTGCACACCTCTGGCAGGGACTGGGTTCAGGGATCTAGGTGGTTCAGGCTGGACTTCAGTCCCTGAGGAAGACAGTCCTGTTTCTAGGGCACTTTTGCCTTGGAGACCCCTAAACGCCAACTTTTGTCTCTGGACCCCAGGCGCAGCTTCTCAGGCACTGTTTTCATAACTGGAAATCCCCTGAAGGCTGTAGGCCAGTGCACCCACCAGCTGCTGACCACAGCGCATCCTCAAAGGGCCACGCACACCCCAACGTCCCTAGCTGCGCTCTGGAGAAGGCTCTTCACTGCAACCTCAACCTCTTTCTGTTGCCAAACTCCCTCCTTTCAGTTTCAACCTGGATTCCTTAGTGACTTCAGTTCTTCCAAGCTTTTAAGAACTGTTAGCTGGGCATGGTGGTGCACGCCTGTAACCCCAGCACAAGGGAGGCTGAGGCAGGAGCACCTCAAGTTCAAACCCCGCCTGAGCAACTTAGTGAGGCCCTGTCTCGAAAAATAAAAATGGGCTAGGGACGTAGTTTAGCACAAAGGCTCTGGCTTCAGTCCTCAGCACCCTCCCCTGCAGACAAAAACTGTTTCAAACATTTCCCACACTGGGGCTGCTTGCTCTGGGCGCCTGCTGTCCATGGGAGGCATTTCTGTGTTGCCATGCTCTTCTGGGCTTCCCCTCTATGTTGCCTTCAAGTTTATTGAGGCTTTAAATTGAAGAAGTTCATTTTTTTTTTTTTTTTTTTTTTTTTTTTTTTTTTTTTTTTTTTTTTTTTTTTTTGCACTTCTGCATTTTCCTCCTTGCTGGTTTGGAACTGCACTCTACTTCTCTTCTAACTGGCTAATCATGATGCTTCCTGCAGTTTCAGCATAAGAAGATGCTAAATACTCTCTGGTCCCCTGCCCCAAGTAAGCACCCCAGACCCTGCTGTGCCACACTTTCTCTTCTCAGCCAGAGCCCAGTCGCCCTCACACACGCCTGTTTCAGCCATGCTGGTTACTCCAGATACAGGTTTGGGTTCCCACATGTGCACTGGGCTGCTCTTGTGGTGAAATGTTCCTTTTTGCTGAAAAGCTTGTTTTAGAAATCCCTCTAGGCCAGATGTGGTGGCACATGCCTATAATCCCAGCACTCGGAAGGCAGAGGCAGAAGGATCACAAATTAAAGGCCATCCTGGGCTACATAGTGAAACCCTGTATCAAAAATCCAAAATGAGGGGCCCAGGAGATGGCTCAGTAGAATAAGCGCTTCCCTGGCAAGCGCAAGGGCCTGAGTTCAATCCTCAGTTCTGCAAAAAAAGAAAAAAAATCCAAAAAGAAAAGGAAATGTCCTTGGCACAGGCAACCTGGAGGCATCAGCGTTCCTTCATCAGCAAGTACATGGATTTGAGCTGTATGCTATTTGGCTTCTTGCTGCTCCAGGAACGGCTTGGGAAAGAGCCTTGCAGCACCCAGACTTTGAGTCTCTTAGCTCGGAGAGGCCCAAGCAGGTGATACAGGGCACATAGCAGGGACAGTAAAACTTGAAGTCAGAGAGACCATTGGCCCCCAGGCTCTTTCCAGGGCAGTGCCCAGTGACACGCACCCATGCACCTCTCGAGGTCCAAAGTGGGCACTTGTGCTTGGCATGTATGCCTTCTGTGTCATGGGCTTGGGACCCAGGAGCTGCTCCAGCCCCTGCTTTCCTGCTGGAAACTGCCAGACACACATTTTGTCTCCAGGCCTCTGGTAGCTCTGTCTTGTTTCTTTGGGGCTTTGCTGCTTCTGTGTGACCTTCAGACCTGCCTTCTTGGGTACTAGGCCTGTCCCCAGCCCTTCTCTGGCTTCCCTGAGCAATGCCCAGGCTCCTCCCTGGGGACACTGGCAGGGGTGTGGTCCTAGGGTCCGCTCCTCTCCATCTGTAAACCTGCCCTCTCACCAGCTCCAGCCTCACGACTCAGGCTGAAATGCAGCATGGGACTAGGGAGGACCTGGTCACGTTGCTGCTCCAGGGAGGGAAGGGAAGGCAGCAGGCAAAGCCCCACCCTGCTGTGGAAACTGACGGTTGAGCACAGGTTTTTACCCCTGACCCCGCCTCCCCAAGGGAGTCAAGGCCTCCCTCAGCTGCCCATTACCTTGTAATTCTTGTGCCTGTTCCCTTCACAAGAGCCCATACAGGAAACAACACACAGACTAGAGGCTGTGTCTTCCCCCCACCCCACCCATCAAACCTTCCAAGGCCCCCTCAAACGCAGCCCCCACTTGGTCAGCTCTCCCGCCTCCCACATCCCGCTGACCCGTCTTTGAGGTCGAGCCCCGGGCAAGGTCACCACTGGCCTGCGGAGCAGCCTCCTTTTGCATCCCCTAGCTGGGATTGCTCAAAGACCCGGCGGTCCGGGTTTGGTCCTGGTGGGCACTGCCAAGCTGGCGGGAGGCCGAGGGCAGGGAGGGGCCAAGAGAACAGATGCCTCGCCCCGCCCGGAGTCACGTGAGAGCCTCTGGAAGCGGAACTGGGGCTGCAGCCGAGCCCCGCGGTCCGCGCCCCCGACCTCGGTGCACCCGCACCCCGCTGCAGCCATGCGTTCCCCTCGGTCTCGCGCCCTACCTCTCGCGCTCCTCATGACACTCCTGGCCTCAGCCCGCACCGCCGCAGTCGAGGTCCCGCACCTAGTGCGTGTGGACATGGCCCGCTCGCTGCGGCCCCTTCGGCCCTTCTGGAGGAGCACCGGCTTCTGGTGAGCACCCCCGGAGAAAACAGGCCGAATGAGCCCGCCCTGCAGCATAGGCCCCCAGGCAGCCCAGACTCTGTCGGGGTGGGGCTGGCACCCTGCTAGGTCTGAGGAGGTCGTGCTCTGAGTAAGTGTGCTGGTTTAGGACGCCAGGCTAGGAAGGCTTGAAACCAACGCTGGCTGCGTCCCTAGGAAGGGAGGCCCTTCCCTCTCCGACTACGGCCCTGTGTGCTTCTTTCGCAGGAGCTGAGAGCCTTGAGAAGTAAGGGCACTTTTTTTTTTTTTTAAATAGGTAATTGAACCATTTTTCTGGATTCTCTCAACCTGCTTTTATCTCCGGATCAGGTCCCTGCTCGTAACTTTTCTTTGCTCAGCCAATGTATGGGCTTAAGGATTTCCTTGTTTTCTTTCCTGCCTCAGGGTCCCCCCCCCATTGGCTGGGTGCCCCGTCTGGGTATGGGGTTTCCTCCCCAGACAAAAGAGGTGCTGGGAGCTAGGCTCTTCCTGGTGGGCCGGTAGCCTCGAGGGCAGCCAGGGTGTGGAGTGACCTCCCCATGTCGCACAGAACCTCCAGTCTCTGACTCAGTCCCACAGCTAGGATGAGGGTGCACAACATTCCTGGCCTGGGGGCAGTTTATTGTTAACTAGTTTTCATCTTTGGGGCCTGGTCAGCACCAATGCAGGGCACCCTGTCTGTCCCCAGCCCCCCGTTGCCACATGAGCAGGCTGACCGATATGACCTCAGCTGGGACCAACAGCTCAACCTGGCATATGTGGGTGCTGTCCCCCATGGTGGCATTCAGCAGGTCCGGACACACTGGCTGCTGGACCTCATCACAGCCAGGTGCGTGATGCTGGGTGGGACTGGGAGTGGGGGCCAGGGCTGGGGGGCTCTCACTTCCTGTTGGAGCACCCTGCAGGGGTTGAGGGACATCCTGGCTGGGGTGCTGAGGGCAGCCCTTGGTGTCTCCCTGGAGGTCACTGTAGAGGGCCAGGATCAACTTGTGTCCACGGCCCTGGATTTTTGTGTACTGTGTGGTTGGTGGTGTAGCTGCTCAGGAATGCAGTGCCTGAGGCCCCACTGAAGTTGTGGTGGTCACATGACCTCCAGCCTTGGCACTGGACCTACTGCCTTGGAGCTGGCACCTGGTCTGTAGGCATGAGCACCACATGTGAGGAGCGCTTGGGGTATAGGTGGCCTCCAGAAACACAGATGCTCACACCCTGGTCATGATTCCAGCTCCTTCCCAGGAGGGTGGGTCTGGGCAGGCTCTGGGACAGGGTGTCCCTCTCCATACTTGCAGGACTCTGTTTGGATAAGATGGCAATGTGGCATTCAGCAGGGCATGGCCCTTCTAAGCTCGGTCAAGGCACTCGGTAGGTACTGGCACTAGGAGAGCGTAGTTGGTCCCCGAGGCAGAGTTCCAGGTCCCTGAGCACCAGGCCCTTGAGTGTGTTCTGGTGCTGCTCCTCCATTCACAGCAGGATTCCCGTGCTCCTTGGGGCCAGGGTGGACTCTGGCCCTGGTCTCATCCCTAAGAAGGAGCTCAGTGATGGTGACCTTCAGACATCTGCCTCAGGCTCCCAGAGTGCAGGCCACAGCACTGTTAGAGGACAGAGTTGGTGGCCGCCTGCTCCCCATGGCGGGCCTGCGCAGCCTCCACAGCACTGTGCACACTGGGGAACAGCTGCTCGTCCTCGGCTCCTTGGCCCGCCCCCAGGAAGCCCCCTCTCTGGAGAGTGTCCCTCACTGAGGGGCTGCAGCAGGCCAACAGCAGGCTGACGCCCAGCGCCCCATAGTCTCGGCGCAGGTCTTGCAGCATGGCCATGCCAGCCACATCGAGGAATAGCAAGGGGGCGCAGTCGATGACCACCGTGTGGAACCCAGCTGCTGTGGACACCAGCCTGGCCCCACTGCTTGTGTGCTCCTTGCCCTCCATGGGGTCCCCCTCATCTGCCCCCAGATCCGAGTCCTGCCCTTTCTTCCTGGCAGCTGAGCACCCTGCATCCAGCCCTGTGAGGTTATAGAGTGACCGCAAGAAGAAGGCCTTGTTGGCATAGCAGAGTGGCCCCGCAAAGCGGAACACCCGCACTCCAGCCGGAGGCACCAGGCCCTCAAACTCTGCGGCATCCTCATAGAAGGCTGAGCTCCCAATACGGGCAAGCAGGGCAGCCCGAGGGCGTTGTGTACGTCCGACCAGGCTGAGCAGTGACAGAAGCAGCCCAGCCAGCAGTCCGGCCTCAACACTGACAAGCACGCAGGTGGCCGCGGTGGCGGCCCAGACCAGTGCATCAGCTGGGCTCAGTCGCCACAGCTGGGGAAGGTCTCTGATCTTGCGCAGGGCACCCCGCAGGCTGACCACAATGACACAGGCCAGAACGCTCCGCTGCAGGTCCCGGAATAGTGGCGCCAGCGCTAGCAGCACCAATAGCACCACAGCTGCACTGACCAAGCTGGACACCTGTGTCCGGCAGCCAGTGGCCGTTTTCACCAGACTCTTAGACAGGGCAGCACCAGTGACGTAGCAGTGGAAGAAGGCTGGCAATACATTGCAGCAGCCCACAGCCAGCAATTCCTGGTTGGCACGGACAGAGTAGCCATAGCTGCGGGCAAACATCTCAGCCAGTGAGATGGAGAAGGCTGAGCCCACCAGGGCCAGAGACACAGCATCCAATGCCACATGCCACATCAGCTCGAGGTCTGGTGCCTGTGGGGGCACAAAGCCAGTAGGGATGTCACCAGCCACACTTGAGCCAAAACGCTTGTGGAACTGCCCGAAGTGGGACACAAGTGTGGCCATCACAATGACCAATAGCTCCGTGGGCAGTGGCACCCTCAAGCGGCGCCGGCAGCGGTCTGAGAGCTCCTTGCCTGCCAGCAGCATCAGCAAGCACACACCACTGGTGACCATGTCGCACACGTTTGCCTCACCCAGGCCACGCAGCAGGCTCAGCCATATGCGGACCACCATGCCAGGTCCTTGGTGCCGGGGGACCCGCACGCCCAGCAGGTGTCTGAGTTGCGAGGTCAGAATGGTCACTGAGGCGCCCATGGCGAAGCCATCCAGCAGTGGCTGTGAGAGATAGGCAGACACGAAGCCTAGTCGGAGGACACCCATGAGCACCTGTGGACAGAGCATGTGGATCTCAGGCCATGCCGCAGAAGCCCTGTACCCCACAGCACCAGTACCCAGCACAGGGTGCAGCTGCAGCACAGAACCCAGCAGCCCACAGATACTACCATGTATTCTGTGTTCTGCACATGACTGTGCCAGGAGACACAGGGACATATGTGAGTTGCATGTGGACAATGGCTGGAATGCTCATGTTACATCCGTGCAGAGATTTGTCAGGGGCAGTCCCCCTCTTGTGCACGATGGGACCCCTCAAGGGGCTGGATGCACAGGGGCTCCTGGGACAGGAGGCCGTGTGGGTCCCAGTCTGCGCACTTGTGTGGCCTTCGCCGTAGTGCTGCCGGCCCTCCTGCCTTGCCGCCACTCCACCTCATGGCTCTGGCCCAGGGCCGCAGGGCCCTTCCTCCTGCCCTGCTCTGAATGTCCTCCCTCTTCCCTGGTGGTCGGTGGTGAGCACCTAAGGGAGGCCAGCCTGCAGTGCACCTGCTCCTCACCTGGTAAATCCCAGTCATCAGTGTGAGAGCGGTGGCCACACGGATGGCATAGCAGTCCCGCCCACAGTCCTGTAGCCCAGGTTTCAATGTGGCTGCTGAACTGTTCAGGGCGCTGCCATTGGCTCTGGGCCCCAGGCCATCCTGGGAAGGGTCAAAGCCAGCCAGCTGGAGCTCTCGGTCCACCACCTGCCCCACCACAAGGCACAGCAAGCTGAAGATGCCCACAGACACATGGTGTGAAGTGCCCAGGAGAAAGTAGATGATATTAGCAAAGAAGGACGTGTAGAGGCTGTAGATGGGCTGTAGTCCGGCCAACAGGGAATAAGCAATGGCCTGTGGCACCAGGATGATGCCAATGACCAGCCCGGACATGATGTCACCTGCCAGGTCCTCCCGGGGGTGGTACTGACGCAGCCAGCATGTGACAGGGATCAGGTCCTGTACCAGTGCCCAGGCCCGTGGCACACTGCACCTACAGCTCTGCTGCAGCCTGGCCTTCAGTGTCTCAATCAGGCTTTGGGGGTTGGGTGGTTGCCGGCGGACCAGCACCAGGCCCCCATCCTGCTGTGTGATGTTAAGCGACACATCCATCCTGCAGCGCCAAGCCTCACGCCAGCCTGCAGAGAAAAGTGGCCATGTCAGGTCTGTGCCCACTCATAGCCTGGGAGCAGGATTCAGACCAGGTCCCAGGCAACAGCAGATACTCCCGCTGCTCCTTCTGACCTCAGGCCCACGCCTGCTGCCCCTTGGTGGGTGGTAGTACTTGAGCACTAGCATAAGGCATGTGAGGGCTTGGGGTGCTGGCAGGCAGCACAGCTGTCCAGTCCAGGCTCAGTGCTGGCTGTGGGCTCTAGCTCCCACCTGATATCCACCATGAAGTCCTGAAGGTGATGCCTGTGGGGCCCCACCACACACACACACAGGGCTGAGGTCAGGGAATCCGAAGGAGGATTCCACCTCCGCAGCGCTCTGCTGTGGCGAAGGTTCTTGCTGCCCAAAACGTGCCCACACCAGCATCCCTGCCCCCTTCCTCACCTAAACTCTTGCCCACTCCTGTGGACACCTTAGCTCTGGGCACAGCAGGGCATGTCTTTCTTGCCATCTAGCCATATGGATGCCCCACCCCAGATCTGTGCCCACCCTGCCTGTCTTTCCTTTCCCTGCTGGACAGGGAGAGATGAGAGTGTGCCAAAAGGGGGCCTGGCCCAGCTGCAGGCAGAGGAGTGGAGAGGGGGCCAGGCCTGGCTGCACTGAGAAGAGTGGAGTGATGTCGTCAGTCTTTCTAGGGAGTCCTGAGATAGGACACCCCTTCCCTGAGTGCTAACGGCCCTTTCCAGACACGTCGTGTGCCACGGAGAAGGCACGCTGCTCTGCAAATAGTGGCTTGGGTAACCCAGTACCTCCTGACCTGGCCTGGCCTGGGCAGCTCTGTGGTGCCAGCAAGGCGGTGCTTAGAGCCCACACTGCCCACAAGTGGCCTTCGGTTTATCCTGTTTCAGGTTCCAAAGTACTTGTTTTTAGAGCCCCCCCCCCCCCAAAGTCTCCGTTGCCACAGCCCAGGACCCCTCATTTGTGCCGATTTCCACTGGCACTTGCAACTTCCTTGAGATAGTAGGCTGGGAGCCTGAGCCTGGTGGGGGGCTCCGTGCTCGAGAAGCATTGTGAGAACCATGACCCTTTCCCCCAGAGACCCTTCCACGAGTGTCCTTGGACTCCTTAAGCTCACCCATAAGGTCAGGGGCATTGATCCCGACTTTAGGTGCCACTCACTCAGTACTCAAGTGTCCCCCAGAGAAATGGCAAGATCTGTTTTTGTTCCACCTTTCCCCCCAGCGAGCTGCCTCCACTGTGGTTGGGTGGTCAGGGTGCAGGAGTCTTACCTGGGGTTGTCCTAGGCTCAAGACCTTGGGTATTGAGGACCTGGGCCTGCTGCCGGGTGGATCTCTGAGCCCAGCAAGGACGGCGAGGGTCTGGCGCTGACCTCCTGGAGCTCTGTGTGTGCTAGGCTGTTGGTTCAATTATTTACTCCAAAGATTGCTGAGTCATGGGTTTCCCCTGATGCCTGACTGTTACCTGAGTGGCTAATCCAGTGCACTAATCCTGCAAGTTGTACCGTAATCAGAGGCTCAAAAATAATTACAGTTATTCAGGCCCCCGATAAGCTCCTGGACTAGTAGGAGTGGGGCAATAGTTGCAGGAAGGATGGATGGGGAGAGGGGTAGAACAGGGTGTACCCCTGCCCCTTTCAACTCCAGGCTTTAAGGCCAGTGTATGCCCCCGTCCCACATGCCAAGAGGGAATGGAGAGGCTGGTCCCTGTCCTACTGGGGCCTGCTCTGGTCTGAGCAGGAGCAGGGTGGAAACCACAGCAACAGGCCCCAGGCAGCCTCGTCTCCAGCAGCTATTCTAGGTCCTCCCATGGAAGGCTGGCACAATTCTGCCAGTATGCACACAAATACACACCCTTGTACAGTGGGGCACTGGGGTTCTAGCCCAGTTCCAGGTGGACCATTCTGACTGGCCAGGTGCCTGGGTCTTAGGACAGGGTCTTGGGAGGCTGTGGTACACTGTTCAGTGGGGCTGGAGGGCCAAGCTGTCCTGGTCTACTGTCATACAGCCTCCACTAAGGATCAGTCTAACATGGGTCTAGGCTCAGGAGGCCACCAGCCCTGCTGTTCCTGTTCCCAGGGGCCCTGAGAGAGGAATTAGGTTCAACAAATGTTTTGCAGAACCAGGTGGGACCCTTGGGCTCCAGGACAGGGTGGTAGGGGCAGGGGTGGGGCCAACCCCCCAGAGGGAGGGGTCCCATCCAGCTCTATTTTGGAAGCTCCTCCTGGTGTCTTTTTGTGTCCCACCTGGCTCTCCATAGCCATGGGCCTGGCCAGGGAAGACAGGGAACACAGAAGGTGTGGTATATGGGAGGGTGGCCAGAGAAGAGCCTGAGTGAGCCACAAGGCAGGGCTGGGGTGCAGTGCCCCACCTTGTTCCCAGGGCATTCACCAGATGCCTTCTCCTCCAGTCCTGTTGATACTCTGGGAGACTCCTTTGGGGCAGCAGGGCCTAGGTCTCCTCCTCCTCACACCCAGTGTTGGGGTGGGAGTGTTGTTTGCCTGGCGGTTGGGAGTTATGGCTTGAAGGAGCTCTTTCTGTGGGTGTAGTTGAGTGAGTCACAGGGGCTCCTATGGGGCAGATAAAGGGCATGGACAGTGATCTGCTGGGGTACCCACGAGGAGCTGTGGGACAGTCCCTAGGAACATAGGGGCCCTTAGAGGAAGGCAGGGTCAGGAGGATCTTGGGCTTGGGGAGAAGAGGATCACAGGTGCGGGGCAGGTGGGGTCATCTGGGTGCACAGAGACCTCAGGGAACCGGATGGCCCTTGTCTCACCCTCCAGAGCGTGTGCAGTCAGGACCCATCTACCCCACTCAGCACAGCAGACCCCGGCCTCTGATTTCCCTTCTTCGGGTGGCCTTGCCCACTCAGCACAGAGAACCACCACTTTTAGGTTCAGTCTCTGGTCCAGTTCAGTGAGGGTGCTGACTGCCTTCATTTTATCTTCACAACGACTGTTCAAAATTTGAGCTCACTGACTTGGAAAGTGAACAGTGTCCCCTACCGTGGCGGGGTGTACTGGACTCAGGGACCCGGCCTGAGCTTTCAGGCGGCCAGAGGCAAGCCTGCTCAAGCTCCAAGGCCTGGACGGCAGCATAAGGCACCCTCACCCTGTCCCAGGGGCCGGACTTTGTTCCACGCTCTGAGCACGTTGGTCCGCCCACCCGGGAGCGCGCTCGGCCCCGCTGCTCACCTTGCGCGTTCTTGCCCACTCGCTGTACAAGCGAAGCTCCTCCTTCCTTCCTTCCTTCCTGTGCACGAGCGACCCTTTCCCTCACTCTGGGGCACGCTGGCCTCTCAGCTTAGCAAGTGCTGGTCCCTCCCACACCCTAATGCAAACTGGGTTCCCTTGTCGCTCCCCTTCCTCAACCCCGGGCTGCGCGCTCCCTCTCATCGCGCACGCGCTCTCACTGGCCAGGTCGCAGTGGGGTCCGGGGCGCACGCGCAGCCCTGAGGCTCCGCGGGGGCTGGCGTTGTGAATGGGCCCTTGTGCCGCATCCTGGCTAGAGCGGGTGCGCCACCAACCTCGCTAGCTCAGCCCGGCTCAGTGGCAGCCTTTCCCACTTCTCCAGGACTGAGGCAGCAGAGCTGCGCAGAGGCAGTAAGCCTGCCTCTGCCTGTGGGGGTCCTAGAGGTACCCCGCACCCCTGCATTCCTGATGCCCAAGTGAGCCTCAGCCTTTGGATACCCGTATGGGCTGGAGACACCTCTGAGGCATGGCTCCTGCGCTTCATGGGCCCTGCCTGGGGTCATGGCGGGGTTGCGGAGGTCTGGAACCCTTGGGTGTCTCTATTCCAGTGGCACCTACCAATACCGAAGTGTTGGTCTCCTTTTATTCGTTTGCTGTTGGTTGCCACTTTTGTGTGGAGGAGGAGGGCAGAACAGACCCTGCAGGGCATGGCAGAATCTGAGTAGAGACAGCGCAAGGGGAACCCACGTTGTAGGGAAGGAGCAGTCACTGGGCCAGGCTGGCTGGGGTGTGGCAGTGGTGATGTGTCACACTGTCCACCATGGTGCCCTGCCCTTGTCCCTGCTCCACTTTCTCCAGAGCCTCATCCACAGCCTCACCGAACCACTTGGTGCCCAACTTCACTCTGTAGAACCCGGACCAGGGTTGTAGCTGTCCCTTTCCAGTTCAATTCCATGGCTATGCCATAGCCCTGGATATCCCTAGCTCACCTCAAAATCCACAGGGACACTGTTTCCCTTGCCCCTGCACCTCAAAGACCACCTACTCCCACCCCTCAGTACCCTCCAGGGAGCCCACCACAGCCCCAGCTAGACTTCCTGCACCTGCTCAGACCCTTTTTGAAATGTCCAAACTCTGGAGGCTCCATTGCTGAGTCAGCATCCCATCGCCACAGGCCCCAAGGCCTCATCTTGCGAACATGCATGGCCCACTGGCTGCCCTCTGCTCTCAATTCCCATGAACCCTTCCTACCTCAGGGCCTCTGCATGGGCAGTGCCCCAGATGTGCTCATGCTGCAGTGTTCTGTTACCTCCTCAGAGAGCACTCTCCGGGACTGCTACCCCTTCAACCTCATCATGTCACTGCACAACCCTTGTACATCTGTTCCAGGTCTGGGTGGCTATCCAGTAACACCTGTCCTTGCAACCTGACCCAGGGTGGGACAGTTCAGGGTGAGAGACCCTCCATCTCCTTTCCTGTTCATCCATGCTGCTTGTTGAAGGTCAGGAGAGGGATGAACTACAAGTAGGCCAACTGGGTCCTGCCCTCCAGGAGCACTACCAACTTTCCCCTTGTTCCTTCCCACAGCACCCCACTCTAGGTTGGCTGTGTTCAGGATAGTCCCCTCTGCACCCCAGCCCACCCATCCTGCTGCCCTTTTCCAGCTGCCCCTGCCTCTGAGCATCATAGCTGTCCTGACCCTCCTGCTCTGAACCTTCTGTCCTTTGAAGGCTTAGGGGTGGGGTGGCCTATGCAGACTGGTTCATAGTAGGCTGAGTGCCTAAAAGGCCTTCTTGGTGTTGGTGTTTTCCAAAGCGAGTAACTGATGCAGAAGCCTGGCTCCCCCTGCATGGCACTAGGCAAGCTGCCTACCTGCCCCTAGATGGCCACAGTTCCATCAGGGTGCACTGAGATACATTGGTGCACTCCTCTGATCCCAGCTGTCCTTCAACAGGGGGGCTGCTGGGCAGGACCTAAAGTACAACTTTACCCACCTGGACGCTTATCTGGACCTCCTGGGGGAGAATCAGCTCCTCCCTGGTGAGTGGTAGCCCTGGCTTCCTCTTCCTCATAGCCCTTTTGGTGGCAGTATGCTCAGGACAGGTATGTGCCAGGCAGTAATGGTACTGGGCAGTGGGCACTGTTCCCATGTTGCAGGGTTTGAGCTGATGGGCAGCCCCTCTGGACACTTCACGGACTTCGAGGACAAGCAGCAGGTGTTTGAGTGGAAGGACCTGGTTTCCATCCTGGCCAGAAGATACATCAGTATGCAGGGAAGGGATATGGGAGGCTCCCCTGGCAGACTCCCCATCCTCTAGGCCACCCTGAATCTTTTGTCATGAACCCATTGTGCCAGGGTTTCCAGGAGGTAGGGGCCACCTCCAATCAGACACCCAGTCCCATCCCAACCTCTACCCTGTGCCGAGCCTAGGCCAGCCCAGCCCTGGGTGGGCTTGGCCCTTGCTGGTCTCAATTGTGGAGGCCACTCTGCAGGTAGGTATGGACTGGCACAGGTCTCCAAGTGGAACTTCGAGACATGGAATGAACCGGACCACCATGACTTTGACAATGTGTCCATGACAGAACAAGGTGACGATGCTTGCTGGGGTTCTATAGGGCTCCCAGGGAGGGTTAGGGGAAATGCACTGTTCTCAGGACCCTCCTTCCCTTCCAGGTTTTCTTAACTACTATGATGCCTGCTCTGAGGGTCTCCATGCTGCCAGCCCCAAACTGCGATTGGGCGGCCCAGCAGACTCCTTCCATGAGCCTCCCAGGTCCCCACTCAGTTGGAGCCTCCTGCGGCACTGTGCCCATGGTACCAACTTCTTCACTGGCGAGCAGGGTGTGCGGCTGGACTTCATCTCCCTCCACAGGAAGGTGTGCTCCCTGCCTGTCCCTCCCTGTCCTCCAGCCACCCAGCCCTGCGTGCTGACATCTTAACCCTGCTGTAGGGAGCAGGAAGCTCTATTGCCATCCTTGAGCAGGAGGCAGTGGTCCTAGGCCAGATCCAGCAGCTGTTCCCTGAGTTCAAGGACACCCCTATTTACAATGACGAGGCAGACCCGTTAGTGGGATGGTCGCTGCCGCAGCCTTGGAGAGCAGACGTGACCTATGCAGCCTTGGTGGTGAAGGTGGGCTGGGCCTTCCTGCTGTGGGATGGAGTGGCTGGGCTAGCTGAGGTCCCAGCTGGCCTGCCATCTGCAGGTTATCACCCAGCACCAGAACCTGCTGGTTGCCAACGCCAGCACTTCGACCTACAGGCTGCTGAGCAACGACAACGCCTTTCTGAGCTACCACCCACATCCCTTCTCACAGCGCACACTGACAGCTCGGTTCCAGGTCAACAACACCCAGCCACCTCACGTGCAGCTGCTGCGCAAGCCGGTGCTCACAGCCATGGGGCTGCTGGCCCTTCTGGGTGAGGAAAGCTGCCCCGGGGGTCGGGTGGGAGGCCAGGGTGGTCTGGCCAAGGATCCAAGGTACGGAGGCAGGATGGTCGTGAGGGGAGCACAGGTTCCTCAGCTGCTCTGTTTCTTGGGATGCGTCCCCCGAAGCCCCGCCCCTCCCAGCCTGAGACCCCTTTTAGGTGAAGACAAGGAGCATATGGTGGGAGACCAGGTCGTGGGGTTGGGGACCAGCTGCCCCAGTGACTGTCCCTCGGCCTTGCAGACGGAGACCAGCTCTGGGCCGAGGTATCACGTGCCGGCGCTGTGCTGGACAGCAACCACACGGTGGGTGTCCTGGCCAGCGCCCACCGCCCCGAGGGCCCAGGAGACGCCTGGCGCGCCACGGTGCTGATCTACGCGAGTGACGACACCCGCGCGCACCCGGGCCGCAGCGTTCGGGTGACTGTGCGCCTTCATGGGGTCCCTGCAGGCCCAGGTGAGTGCGGCGTGGCTGGGGGCGGGGTAGGGTACAAGGAGGGACGGGCTAGAGAGCCAACCCCCAGCGTCCCGCCTCGCAGGGCTCGTCTACACCACCCGCTATCTAGACAACCGGCTCTGCAGCCCCCAGCGCGAATGGCAACGCGCTGGCAGCCCTGCCTTCCCCTCGGTGGCGGAGTTTCGGCGCATGCGCGCAGCAGAGGTGCGCAAACTCCAAGGGCTGGGGGAGCCCCGGGGTCGGAGGCGGACGCCAACCTGGTCTTCTTCGTTCCCAGGACCCGGTTGTCTCCGCACCGAGACCCTTCCCCGCCGGGGGCCGCCTGACACTGCGCCCTGAGCTTGCGCTGCCCTCGCTGCTGCTGGTGCACGTGTGTGCGCGTCCCTCTGGGCCGCCGGGCCAGGCAAGTGGCCTCCGGGTCACCCAGATCCCCCCCCAGGCAACCCTTCCCCAGGATTCCCGACTCACCCACCCTCACGTCTGCTTCTTGCCATCAGGTGACCCGGCTCCGTGTGCTGCCCCTGACCCGAGGGCAACTGGCTTTGGTCTGGTCTGATGAGCGAGTAGGCACCAAGTATGTGAGGGTAGTGTGACTTGCCCTGGTGCCCACCTGTCCTAACCCTGGAATTATGGGCTGTGCCCCCTCCCTCCCTTTCCAGATCCCTCCTTCCTGGTTGCCCTGTGTGGGGTGTGGGGCTCGTGGTGATCCTCCTGTTTCAGCTTCACCAGCACTGGGATTACAGGTGTGCACCACCACTCCTGGTTTTGGTGGCATGGGGCCTTGCATGGCATGTGGTACCGGGTATCGAACCCGAGTCCTTGTGCTTGCCAGGCAGGTGCTTAGACTGCTGATTTAACTCTCTGGCCCCATAGTATGGCTTCTGCTCATACCAAGAAGAGTGCCACAGTCACAGCAGTGCCAGGAGGGGGGCTGGCAGGAGGAGATGGTGGCCCCTGTGAGCCACTGGCCCTCCTAACCCTGACTTCCCCAGGTGCCTGTGGACTTACGAGATCCAGTTCTCCCTAGACGCCAAGGTATACACCCTGGTGAGCAGGAAGCCGTCGACCTTCAACCTCTTCGTATTTAGCCCAGGTACACCCACAGCCACAGCCCTGGTTTCAGCTCCTCCTGTGTTGGGTCTCACACATACCTGGTGGGGTGGGCCCAGGGACTGTGAGGACATTGTGGGCTTAGGTGCGCTCACTAAACACCACACATACCTTGTGCTTTCAGACACTGCTATCGTCTCTGGCTTGTACCGCGTGCGTGCACTGGACTATTGGGCCCGGCCAGGCCCCTTCTCTGATCCTGTGCCATACCTGGAGGTCCCAGCTTCCTGAGGGTCACCAGTTCCACACTGACCAGTCAGGAGCCAAGATGGGCCCACTGACCACTGGCCAATCAGTTAGTTGTTGGCTTCTTCTGCCCCTACCCACTCTGCACCTCTAAAGTGACTTGCTGCCCATCAGTCTTGGGGTCAGCCTCTGTGGACCCGTCTGGGTGGACAGAGGAGAGAAAGGAAGGGGATGGCAGGCACTCCGCTTCCTTCTGTTGGCCAGAGCTACCAGTCTGGGTGGGGAGCTGCTGCAGGGGCTGAAGGCACTCTTTGGCGGGGAGGATAGCTCAGCAGACTGCCAGCAGAGGCCTCCAGTGCCCATTGTGTTTGTGTGACCTTTGTGGCTATCTTGGCTCTGTCTGAAGCCGCACAGCTAGGGCACAGTGGGCAGGGGCACAGCTGTTGTTCACTTCTGGGTGGCCTACGGAGCACGTATGTCTGTATGCCACTTCTATATATTTTCCTTCTTGCTAGCAGCCTCTAGGAAACATCATGAAGCATTTTTAAGGAGTGGTCTAGTGGCAGCCCAAGACTCCTTCTTGGAGACACAAGTATACTCTGTCCTCAGTATCCTGGACCAATAAGTCATGTGGCCAGGTGGCTGGCGTTGAGCCTCCAGTGAGGCTCAGTCGCAAGCCTGGAGCCACATTCCAAGTGGGGAAGAAGGTATGGCAGCAGAGGTAGGCTAGCCTTGGTCCAACAGCTGTCTGGCAGGAGCACAGTATTGTACCACAGCCTGGCCTGCTGAGCCCTTTCCAGCCAGCATTACCTATCATCCAGGAAGTAGGCGAGCCCCAACCCACAGTCCCACTGGCTCCAGGCCTCAGGAGGTGCAACAGATAAGGACATCTCATCTTTCTGCAGGATACCCCACCATTTTACCACTATGGAGTCCCTGCATGCTTCTTAGGAAGCTCCTGAGGCAGTCCAGGGTTTCTCTCCTACCCCATGGGAGACGTGACTAAGGCATCTAGGGTGTGTATTTTCTCTTGTTCGCTGCATCCAGTCAGTGGGATCAAGATCTCCTGGGCAGCACCGGGAGGCTGAGACAGGAAAATCACTAATTCAAGCACAGCCTAGGCAACTTTCAGATTTAGCTCTTTCAAAAAATAAATTTAAAAGAGGGAGCTGGGAGGAGCCAGGTGTGCTTACTCTGCAATCCCAGCACTCTGGAGGCTGATACAAGGCTATGAGTGCAAGTTCAAGGCCAGCCTGGACTACATATTGAGATCTGTCTTGAAAGAAAGAAAGAGAAAGGCAGGCCGGAGTTATAGTAGTTTGGTGTGAAGACTGTGTCCAGTACTGAAAGGAGGCGGTGTGGGGGGAAGACCCTGCTGGGTGGTACCTGATCATGAGAGAGCAAAGGTGTGCTGACAGCCCTATCACATGGAGCCGGGCTATCTCAATTCTTTGTGTGGGGATGGGAAACAAAAGCTTTAATATCAGATAGCTCAGGCTGGCTGATTCTTGTCCAGGCCTCAACTATGTTTGGTGCTGCTGCCAGTTACACTGTGTATCCAGCACCTATCTGCAAGTTTCGCAGGGCACAGACATGCCCTCCTGGAGCCGCACTGTGTACCTAGGACTAGAGGAGGGCCTGCAGGAAGCATGTGGGGCCTTGCAGATTGGCCACAGCACCTGCTGCCCGATCCAGAGCCCGCTGCCTCTGAGCAGTGGGCACGTGGTCCTCAGATGCAAATGGAGCGTTCCGGGGAGACCGCCTGCCCCCTCTTCCCACAGATTGAAGCCCATGGCCCAGCAGGCCCTGTTCCTGGGGGTGCTGCTGCCTCTCCAGGGCTCTGAGCCCACAACACAACTTGGTCGCTTCTTAGGTTCTGCATGTCCCCTGAGGGCACCTCACCTCAGAATCATGCTGGTGTGCATTCAGGCTCTGACTCACCTTGCCTGGGAGTCCATCATCCCCACAAGTGCCAGGTGGGTGGCATAGGCTTCTTACCGGGTCCTGTTTTGGGCCTCAGCCAGCGTGTCACACAGAGGCCCTGGACTGTCCTGGACAGGTCCCTGGGCCCAGGTGGAACCACTTCTCTCTTGGTGCTCCTGGCTGTGCTTCAGGCTGCTCTGGATTGGAGGAGTGGGGTGGAGTCTGGAGCAGATGAAGTGCCAGGCTTCCAGGTAGCTGCCTCAGTGCTGGTGATGGGAGGAGGCACCAGCCTGCAGCGCTGAGGCCCTCCCCATGCCTGTGTGACACCACTGTCCTCCTCTGCCACTCCTTGGGCTCTGTCTCCTTTCTAAAGGGGAGGGACCCAGGCTTTCAGTCCCGCTGTTGCCGTGGCAACCCTGACTTTCCCCTCATCCCACCCACACCACTATGTAATCTGAGTAACAAGATGCCACTCCCCCAAGTTTAGCTTAGCTCCTGTACAATGTGCCACCTGATTCCAGAACTCCATTTGGAGATTTGTGGCCTGGGCCACTTCTGGCCCACTTAGGGAGGGGACAGAGAGGAGACTGTGCAGGCTAGAGCCCTGGGCACACTGGCTGTTAGCTGACATGGGCCCTACCTGGCTCCCAAGACCAGTTGGGGGTGTTAATGGGGTCTGGGTGGGGCAGACAGATGCCTGGGTATAGTGCTTGGGGTCTATAGGTTTCTCCTTCCTGGGCTGTACCTCTATGTGGTCATGCAGGACAAGTCCTGCTCCCCATAAGTGAGCTCAGACACTCAGCCCAGGTCAGTACCCTCCATGGCCTTTAGTTGAGGCTGCCTGGGTGGGCACAGGACAGGGTCCCCTGAGGAGTGCCCCCAGTACCCAAGGCCCCTTCCTTGCTAAGGCAGAGCTTGGTTTAGACACCTCTGGGCTGAGCCCTGGGGTCCACTCATGTCCCTCTGTGACCTTCCGAGGGCCCCACCGGGCCTTGCTCCTGGGCCTGGGTGACCACCAGGTGGGATAGTGATACCTCCAGAGCATGCTGTGTACTAGGTGCCCACCACTCCTGTCCTTGTCCAGCCCCAGTAAGCACCAGAAAGTGCTGGTGGCCAGTGGTCACACCACGGCATCGCCTCAGGGGGACCCAGGAAGCTGCTCCTATCAGCGCCCAGCCATGTCCTCTATGGCCTGGGCCAGGATTTGGCTCTGGCTGGGGGATACACCTATCCTGGCAACAGGCTGCTGAGCCCACAGCACCCACTGAACCTGAGTCTGCTTAGCTTGCTGCAGTCAGAGTCAGAAGTTGGGGACCTTTGTGGAGGGGCTCCAGGAGGGCCCATCTCCCTGTCACCAGCAGAGGACTCCCAGTAGCGCTGTGGTCCCCTCCTCCCTTATGAACATACTAGCGCCACCCTGGACTGTCTCGTGACACTCCAACAGCCATCTTGTCAGGGGTCAGGATCCATGGAGATACTGATGGCAAAACAGGACCGCTGCATTTGACTGGGGCTGCTTCTGGCACCCAAGTGTTCCTTGGAATCAAAGTCTGTGGCTGTCCTTCCACTCTGGGATTGGGTGCCTGTGTGCCAAGAAGGAGGAGCCCCGTGTGTGTGGAGGGGTGAGACCTGGTGTGCGGGACAGTGCCTCTGCTCAGGGTCCACTTCAGTGCTGAGCTGGTGTCTCCTGACTGCTAACATCTGTCCATTAACAGGGCAGATTGGGCTATGGCAGGGGACAGGGTCAGTTTGGTTCAACAAACAGCAATCTGGCTGGGGATATAGCTCAGCAGCACCTGTTTGGCAGGCATGAGGTCCTGAGTTCAATTCCTGGTACCAAAAAACCCCTGATGTCATGTGTGGACATAGAGGCCACTTGAGGCCAAAAGGCCCTGAGTTAGGCCACCTTGGGGTTCACAGGGGCTGAAGGGAGTCAGCAAAGCTGGCAAATCCCAAGCCTCAGCAGTGCCATGAATGCAGTGGTTCATTGAGTCACTGATCACACTCACAGTAGGGAGAGCAGAGCCCACCTGCAGCAGAAGCCGGAAGCTGGAGGTGGCACAACGGTGCAGGCTCTGTCTTCCACCCAACAGTCATGCCATGCAAAAGTGCTCATTTTATATGGTGTACAAATAACATGTGCCAATCCTATGGTAGTAAAAAGGCATTTTTCTTTTTTTTTTTTAATTTTTAAAAAGCTTTAATACAGAATCGCTGACATGAAACTGAAGTTTCCCCAAAACAAAAAAAGTTATCTTTAGAAAAGACAGTAAAACAAATTATCTAAGACAGATAAACATTCTTATAAAAACTTAGTTTCCTACATCCTCTCCTTAAAAGAAACACAAAATGGTTCACTATGTATAACCTCTCAGACAACTATTGTCTAAAACCGTTTGCACACATTCAGCACACGCCTTAGCTGTCGTACTCA